GCTGTTAATGTTATGATTATTAAATTGTTATTAAAATCTCGATAACATATAAGACAATTAAATAATGCAAAAGACTCGTTCCAAAAATCAAGGAAAAGGGTAAATAGGTGAGATAGATAGGACTAAAAACCAACTCCTTGGTGACTAAGCACTTGTAGAGCCATCTATGTGTAATTAAGATAAATACTTGTATTACATTGGGCATGGAATCTATTCTTGCCATATGCGGCGATTGGGTTAAGAATTTTAAGAGCTTGAAAAGAATTGACAGGTTTGGAAAGACTCTCAATAGTTTGAAAAGAATCTTGTCAGTATTAGAAAGAATCTCAGGATCTTGAAAAAAAAATTGACAGGTTTAAAAAAGAATCTTAAGATCGTGAAAAGAACCTTGGAAAGACTCTTGGGAGTTTGTAAAGAAACTTGGCAGGTTTAGAAAGAATCAAGAGTTTGAAAAGAAACTTGACAGGTCTGGAAAGACTCTTAAGAGCCTGAAGAGATACTTGACAGGTTTAGAAAGAATCTTAATAGCTTGAAAAGAAACTTGGCAGTTTTGGAAAGACTTCAGAACTTGGAAAGAAACTTGACAGAATTAACGAAGAGTTAAAGGTCTGAGAAAAAATGCAAATAGAACTTGACAGGGATCATGAACAGAAACTTGACATGCTTGAAATCTTGACAGTATCTTAATAGCTCGAAAAGTAGCATAAGAGTTGTAATAAAAGAAACCTGATGGGCTCGAAAACTTGAGAACTTGGTGCCATAATAATAAAACTAAATAATGATAAAAAGCTCCTGGATCTCAGTGATCCATTTACTACTTGTTTTTTAATTATCCATTTTCTCATTGATCTTAATTATACCTTTTTCTCTTAATCTTAATGAACAATTTTCTCACTGATTTTCTATTTTTCCTTGTTCTTAATTATCATTTTCTGTTGATCCCAATCATCAATTATCTCCTTTATCTTAATTATCCATTGAACCTCCTATTCATTTTTCCCCTTATTTATCTATTTATCCATTTATTTATCTATTTATATATTCATTTATATTTTACTTATCCTAGGACTGACAAGATGGCTGCGTCTAGTGTTCCTTTCCTTCTGGTGGTCCTCGCTCTCTGCGGAGGACAGGTGGGCGGGGACGCACGCCTCAGGCACAGATCGACGCACATGCTTACATACAGGCACAAATGGATGCACATGCATACATATAGGCACAGATAGACGTACATGCATGCATGCAGGCACAAATTGATGCACATGCATACATACAGGCACAAATGGATGTACATGCATACATACAGGCACAGATAGACGTATATGCATACATACAGGCACAGATAGACCGTGCATGCATACATACAGACACAGATAGACGTATATGTATACATACAGGCTCAAACAGACGCACATGCATACATACAGGCACAAACAGACATACACAACAGGCACAAACAGAGGTACATATATACATGCAGGTACAAACAGGCGCACATTGACGTACATATATACATACGGACACAAATAGACGCACATGTATGCACAGAGGTACACAAATACGCATATTTATACACACAAGTACAAAGACACGAACGACGCAGGGATGCCCGAGCTGTATGAGAGGTTCTTATACATATGGACATAAAACGACACAGACACACACTTGCGCACATATACCTGAATATAAAACATAGACATACACATACTTACACTCCAAAGCACACGCACACATAAACACGCACACAGTTAATAAAATTTTGTACCTTATATGTACTGCATATATATATATATATATATATATATATATATATATATATATATATATATATATATATATATATATATATATATATATATATATATATATATGCACATAAATGGAGTGTTTTTTTTCAGGCGACTTATTGCTCATCAGCATATTAACAAATTTCTCTTCCACCCTCTCTCTTTCCTCTCACTTTTCTCTCTCTCTTTTCCCTCTTTCTTTTCACTCCTCTCTCTCTATATATATATCTCTTCCTCCAAACCCACTCATTTCCCTCCCTTTCTCTCTTCCCTCTTACCCTTACCCCCTCCTCTCCCTTTATTTCCGTATTGCCATCGTCTCCCCCTTTTCACCTTCCTCTCTCTCTTCACTATTACCCCCCCCCCCCTTTCCCTCTCTTTCTCTCTTCCCTTCCACCATCCTTCCTCCCCCCCCCCCCCTTTGCACTCCTTCTCTCTCATCCCTCTCCCCCCGCTTTTTTTTCCTCCTACCAACTCCTACCCACCTCCCCCCTCCTTCCCCCCTTTCCTACTCTTCCCTATCACCCCCCCCACCCCACCCCACCCCCCCACCCCCAAAAAAAAAAAAAAAAAAACACGCAGGTGTCAGCCCGGAAGAATCTGTCAGGCAGTGAGTGTGCCGCTGACGGAGGCGAGTGCGTGTCGCCCGGGAACTGCATGACCCCCAACACAGCTGCTGAGTCCTGCGCAGGCGGCTCCGTGTGTTGCAACCCGACGCGGCTGCAGGCGTTCAGGCAGACCCTCGAGCTGGACGGCTTCGAGGTCGACCTCCGAGGTAACTTTGTGAAGCTATCATGTCCGTTTTTTTTTTATTCGTTTGTCTGTTCTAATTTTCCTTTATTTTGGTAATGCATTTCGTTTATTGTTATTATTTGATCTTTTTATCTGTTTGTTATTACTGTCTTGTTTAGTTGTTTATTTATCCACCATTATTTATAGTATCAATCTATTTCATTTTTATATGCTGTAAATATATAGCAATTTGTAATCTCGATACGAGAAAAGACTCCTTTTGACTATATGGAATTATGCCATTATTCATATTTCTTTCTGTTTGTCTTCTTTCTCTCTCTCCATCCCTCCTTCCCTCCCTCTCTCTCTCTCTCTCTCTCTTTTTCTCTCCCTTCTCTCTCTCTCTCTCTCTCTTCTTCTCTCTCACTCTCCTCTCTCTTCTCTCTCACTCTCCTCTCTCTCTTCTCTCTCTCTCTATTTCTCTCTCTTCTCTCTTTCTCTCACTCACTCTCTCTCTCTCTCACTCTCTCTCTCTTTCTCTATCTATCTTCTTTCTCTCTCTCTCTCTCTCTCTCTCTCTCTCTCTCTCTCTCTCTCTCTCTCTCTCTCTCTCTCTCTCTCTCTCTCTCTCTCTCCATATATCTATCATTACATATATTTCCAGGATGGGACCCGTGCAGCGACAAGAAATGCCTGGGTTGGTATGGAGGTTACTGGACAGCCGACCCAAGCAATTGCACGAACAAGTGGAGGTTAGTGAACTACTGTCCTACCACGAACCTGTGGTGCTGCGCCCCCCCGTGCAGGAGGAAGCGGAGATGCGAAAGGAGGTGGGGATATTGCGTCCCAAGGAGAACCCATTGTCCCAGCGGCAGAACGAGGCATAGAATGTGTCGGGGGAAAATGTGCTTCTGTTGTCTCCCTCGTGAGTGGTGAAGTTGTATTGTTGTTAGTTTGGCTCATCCTCTCTCTCTCTCTCTCTCTCTCCCTCTCTCTCTCTCTCTCTCTCTCTCTCTCTCTCTCTCTCTCTCTCTCTCTCTCTCTCTCTCTCTCTCTCTCTCTCTCACTCTCTTGCTTTCCTTTTTTTCTAGGGTGTTATGTTTCGTTTCTTTCTGTCTCAGTCTTACCTTACTCTCTTTCCCTCTCTTTCCCATTCTCTCTCTCTCTCTCTCTCTCTCTCTCTCTCTCTCTCTCTCTCTCTCTCTCTCTCTCTCTCTCTCTCTCTCTCTCTCTCTCTCTCTAACTTTCACAATCTAAGCAAACTCTGAAACGACTATACAATGTAAAATGATTTTGACCGAATTAAAATTGCTTCAAAATATTACTGTATCAGACGTTATCAAATTATTTCTCTCGCACTGAACAGCTTTCCCAGCCCCGCCCTGCCCTTGTGAAAATAACAGTAGTGAGTTGAATTTTTTTTCTCTACAATCATTAAAGTGCATTTACGTGTGTTGTCTTTAGATGTACGCGTGTGTTCAGATGTGATCATGATTGTAAAGAAATGTATGAAGGACTATAAAATACCTCTATTCGAGTAACTTATAGCATCTTAGTTCAATTGTTTTCCTTTCTCAGTCTCGATCTGTGCCCAAGCAAATTATAACCTGTCGTTTGAGGGAGACTGCGTTCAAGTTCACAGTCCCAACTACAACCACCCTTACAATAACAACGAAATCTGCAGTTTCCAAGTCACAGCTCCAAGTGATTGTGAAATCGAGGTTCATTTCTGCGAGGTGTCAATGGAGAAGTGCTTCTACGACACTCTAACGATTGATGGGTAAGTAACAGTGGTATTCGACCCTTTTCATAATGTTTCCATACACTTTTGCTTAAGGAAAACAATATATATTTTTTTATTATTTATTAATTTTCTGTTTTGTTAATCATCCGCAAATGAATTATTAATGAACATACAAAAGACGGAAATCTACGGGTCCAGTTCGATCCACACTGAAAAAGTCATTTCTCAAATCCCTCCCCCACCCCAACCCCAAATACATAATACTAACAAAATAAAAAACTATAGTAAAATTAAAAAAAACTTTCTCCCTTCATAGCAACACCTATTGCGGAGTCATGAACCCAGCAAACTGGATAACAGAAGGTAACATCGCATCGATGCGGTTCGACACGGACTTCAGTCAAGTCAATCGTGGCTTCAAAGTGGTCCTGACGGCAGTGAATTGCGTGAGACATTTTGGCTGATCATGAGTCCTGATAGCGTTGGAAATGAGTGAATGTTCTAGTCTGAGTAGCAGTTAGTGCTAGTAATTATACAAGTAGTATTTGGGAAATCTTTTATAGTTGTGTAGTATTATTAATACTTTTAGTAGCTGGGTAATTTACATTGTGCATTGTATTTCGGTAGTTGTTAGCGTTGGATAGTAAATAGGGAGTAGGTACAGTAATAATGGTATTGTTGCATGAACAGCAACTACAGCAATAAATACTTAAAAATGCAATGGTAAAACAAGCAGCAGCAAATATTCATTTCGCACTAAGGCTGTTTCTAGTAAAATACTTAATGATTTAGTGTTAAGAATAATAAATACTTCACAATCTAGTGATAACAGGAGGGAAGTAGATTCGGTCGCAGCCGTACCCACTGATTTAGTGGTAGGAATAATAAGTACTGTAGTATCAGTAATATCTGTGAATACTTCATGATTTAGTAGATGCATCATCACACTCATATGCTTCCGTCTCCTTCAACTGCTTTAATAAATTCTCTTCTTGATTTCAGTTTAACTGTTCAAATGGACCGATTTATGTAGGTCAGTATTAATATTTCAATGTATTCACCTGTGTGTGTGTGTGTGTGTATACAATATACTGTATGCAGACCACGTGGCAATAGACCCACACCTGGGTACGCCACGAAGCTTCGCGTCCCCCCCCACGCTACCTAGCCGCGTCACCTCACACCTCCCGAGACGGGAGACGAGTGGGAACGAGGCTAGGTAGCAAGCGGCGTGGGTATGCCGCTTGTGTGAGGTGACGCGGCTAGGTAGCGTGGGGGGGGACGCGACGCTTCGTGGCGTACCCAGGCGTGGGTCTATTGCCACGTGGTCTGCATACAGTATATTGTATAGTGTGTGTGCGTGTGTGTGTGTGCGTGTGTGTGTGTGTGCGTGTGTGTGTGTGTATGTGTGTGTGTGTGTGAACAAGGGAAAACTCAACCTAGCATCTGGAGTATTCCGATTTGCTAAGTTTCTATTGAGAAAGAGAACGTGGTGCAAAAGCGATAAAAAGTCCAGACATAAGTAAACATCACGTAAGCATCAGCTAAAAAAAGTAGAAACAAAGGCGAATCGCAGTGCTCCAGGCCTGGTTGAGTTGCCAGTTTTTTCTTCTTCCTGCGCTTGGGCGCCCTCTAAGCTGTACGTCGTGTTGTGTAATCTCTGCTGAGAGGAACGTCGTAGAGACCGTAACATTTTCCCTTCCTCTTCCGCCTGTGCAGTGGGCACAGACACCGTCATCACGACAAATACCGGAGGCATCATCCATTCACCTGGGTACCCTGGCAATTACCCCGACAACGTGTTTTTCACCGTGACTATCAACGCCCCAGCAGGATGTACCATTATGTTTGTCTATAATGTATTCGATGTAGAATTTGGAGATACCTGTCAATTTGACTACTTCCAAATCAACGATGTTGGTGCAACAACACCATGGTAAGATTTTTTTAGTTTTTGTTTTTGTTAATCAGTTTGTAGCATTTTCCATTCGCTTGAGGCTGAGAACAACCAAAGATTTTTTGTGGAACTTATGCAATAATACGACTTTATTTCTTCCACAACCTTTCTTATTTCACGGGCATGAAAAAAGTGTTTTTTGTTAACTTGTCTCATTCCTTCCTTCAACATAATGCTAACAAAAGCTTGAAAAAATCCCTAGAGAAAAAATATCTTGTTCATACGTTTATGAGATACATAATGATGGAAATAACCAAAATGATTATCATAATTATCATCATTATTATCACCATCCTCCTCCTCATTATCATCATCATCATCCCTATCCTCATCCTCATCCCCATCTTCCTCCTCCTCCTCATCATCATCATCATCCCTATCCTCATCCTCATCCCCATCTTCCTCCTCCTGCTCCTCCTCTTCATCATCGTCATCATCATCATCATCACCATCACCATCATCATCATTAATCAATCTTCCTCTCACTCGTGCCCTCCCGTCCCCCGACCAGGCCCAAGTACTGTGGCACCATACCTCCGACCTTCAACATGTCAGCCACGAACCAAGTCGAAATCGTTTTCTCTACCGATAAGGCGGTAGTTGCTGCCGGATTTGAGATTTGCTTCACGGTAAGGAAAAGAGGCGGATGTAGAAAAACAGCAGATGAATAAGTGAACAATTAGATGATAAGGAACGATGGCTGTGTTGATGGATGAATGGATAATAAATAAAAGGAAAAAGCAATCAAGCCGATTGTGAGTGTAGGAAAGCCAGATTTAATGAAGCAAAAGTGCTTGGCATTCATAGACTCTATTTACTTAATTTTAACTCATATATCCAAGTGTTTATTAGCAAATAATAGTTTTGAAATATTACAGGTTAAATGTTAGACGCAGTTGGACCCCTTTGCCTCTGAAGCTCAACAGTCCTGAAGTCTTTCACGTAATCTTCTTTCTCGTTTTTCCCATTAAGCCAAGAATCGGCGTATGTGTGTGTGCTTTTCCTGATGAATTCTTGGTTATAGAAAGTGAGGAACACTTAGAACGAGGAATATTTAGTAAAAAAAACTCGAATTCTTTAAAGATAACGAAGAAATATATAGTTAAAGAAGATGAAGAGTACTTGGAGAAAGAACGGATCACGTAGCAAACACCAAGAGCATAGGATACTGGAACAACGGCGAATGTGGTAGAGATTCTTTCACGAGTAAACGGCAAATTCAGGTAGCTTGCTTTAGCTCCAAACCTTACCAGGTGTATGTCTTCAAGGAACTACTGTGA